AGAAGCTACAGAAGGTAGAGGAGTTGAAGAGGAATCTGACATCACAGCAGACGTTTTAACTAAAGCCAAATCACACAGTGAAGCTGCTGTGAAATAAGTTTTATTGGGGCAGAGGAGAAAATCAGCCCGGACATTTACCGAGGGAGAGTTTCTGAAGAGCTGCATGATGAAAGTGTGAGACGTCTGGTGTCCAGACAAAAAGCAGGTGTTTGCTAATGTAAGCCTTAGCAGAAATACGGTTGCTGATTTAAAGTTCAAGTTTATTTTGGAATAATATTGTATCCTGTCTGTTTAGATTCATATTTACATTTAAAAAAACGTTTAGTTTTAGTCTGTTCAATAAATTTTTATCCTGTTCGGCCCGCGACCTAAAGTGTGCATTGAGTTTTGGCCCCCTGTGCGACTGAGTTTGACACCCCTGCCTTATAGACTCAAGAATACATCCAATACCCATTTTGTGGCCGCATTTCTCCCCATCTTTTTCCACAACACACTCCATTTTCTTTTTCACTTCTATGTAATGAAAGTTTTTCCAAATGTTGCTTCTTCTTTTTTCTCTCAAAGACGAACCCCGGCTGGCTGGCCATCGGTCCCCTTTCTCTGTGTCAGACTTAACTTTGTTTGTTGTCGTTTTCTAAATAATGCCGCGAGTGGGGCTTAAGGAAGTGACATCGCCTGCATCTGTGCAGTGCGACCTGATGCGGCGAGACACAGGAAACAAAAATACTGCAAACTAATAACAATAACGCCACTAAACGAGACGAAATAACGTTATAACATTTCGTTTCGTCTCGTTTTGGTCAACGAAAATGAAGAGACATTTTAGCATAGTTTTTTTTTTGTAAACCACATTTAGTCTCGTTTTTTTCAACAATACTGCATTATACATTTAATTATAGTTATCGTCACATGACCAGCATTTTCGTTGCGTCTCGTCTCGTTTTCGTCACGTGATAAAGGTTCGTTGTTTATGATATTTAGTCATAACTTTCGTTGACGAAAGCAACACTATTTGTGAACGGTAAAAAAAAAATAAATAAAAAAAAGATGAGGCAGACACCATCCAAATATGTGCCCAAAGCCTGAAACTCACTCGTGCAAGATCTTCAATCTCATTTGCATTGGTCTCATCTGCTGCCTCCAACATTTCCTCTTCCTCCAGGGTGCGTTCATCGTCATAGTCATGGACAAGCATGTCTGCTGATAAGTCGAAATCATGGTCATCGGATCCTGCTGCACCTCCTAGAAAAGGGCAAAATATAAACAGACATCTCTAATTTAGACTGACAACATGACTGAATGCAACATTTACTTAAGATAATTATGATCACATCAAATAAAGGTCCAATCATTTTTTAAAATAAATTGGGTAAATAGAATACAGATAAATTCAAGTGTTGGAGAGGGCCATATGAATTAAGTCTACCTTGGTACATCATTTTATATTTGCAACATCAATAAATATCATAATGTTGTAAAATATATTAAAATTCAATTAAAATTCTTACAATTACAATACCCAGATGGGAGTGTTTGTTTTTGTAAAATCCTGTCCAAATAATACAGGGACTGATAACAGGCTATAACAACTAGGGCAAAACCTCTATAATCTTATTACTAACTACTAGCCCAAATAAATACTCTGTATAAGCCATATTCACGCTTGAGTTGCAGCTGCAAAATAAGCATTTTGTGTTTTCATACTAATCAGGTTGTTTACGAACTAAAGTGTTGTCAACAAACCCTCAGCAAATGTTTAACGTCAGAACACTAACTATTGTTATTTGGATTTTGTTATTAGTTAAGTGAAAACATTTCCTTTATGCATTAAGTTGAATACATATTAGATGCAAGTTTGGAAAACACATGTCAATCTAATGTGCAGCCAAACAACAACACAAAGGCTCCAACTTTATCTACCTGGGCTCGAATTCCCGAGGGAGGGCTGGAAAAGAAAAAAGATGAACATGAAGTTATACAACTGGATGTACAATTAACAATGGATCGTCGGAGCATATGACGCTACTTTATGCCCATAAACTTACACAAGAGTTCAGAAAAAGAGCGCCCGATCTTGTGCCCTAGAGCTAACTGTAGTACAACAAGAAAAGAAACAAAGAAGACTGCCAACACTTCCTGTGGGAATATTTAGGCAGTAGCTCAGTAACGTAACCCCACAGGTACAGTGATGTTTACCGCCTGAACTCAGCTACAGTTCGCCACAAAACGAGACCGCTTACAAAGTGTATTTACCCAACTGGGTAACTTACATTACAAGTTGAAAGCTAATTCACCTTTAAATACTTAGCTAACGTATTCAAGTTAAGCTTGATGTTAACCGCCTGGAAATAATAATAAATAACACCACAAAATATCTTTAACCATTGACATACTGCAAAAAAAATTATTGAAAATCGCTAACATGTGTAGTTAAGTATTTTTAAATAAAACCGCGAAGTAGCATCGCTAATGCCGCAGCTCCCGTCGGTCAGGCTAACACAGCTAACCTTAGCTAAATCCGAAGTTTTCGAAACATCTTTGTGTCAAGATATGTCTATTATCTAGTAACGCAAACAGCTGAATATTAATTTCGTGTGTTAAAGCTACAACACACAGACAGTGTACACTGTCGATTGAGCTAACTCTCCTGATGTACAAATTAATATTTTTCCGAATATTTATTTCACTATCTTACCTCCGCCATGTTTGCAATCCTACAGGGTCACATCAGGGGTCAGCAATAGTTCCCGGATGTAGAGCCCCGCCCACCAGCAGCATCAAGAACATTATGTTGATCAGGCAGGGAAGGTGCGTGTTATTAACATGGATGCATAAATATATCCACGGTTATGTAATATTGTATTCATTAAAAAACAACGATCACATTTTACATGTAGATATAGGTCTAAAAATGTAACCAGCTTTTAAAAATAGATGCCCTCTATGTAAAAATTGCCATTAAAATCAATAATTTTTGGCTTTTTATTTAGTTTTAACTTGTACAAGTGCAGTACACATTTAGCACCCTCATGTGACCCCTGTAGCAGAGGAAACACTGTAACCAGGATATCCACTATTTACAGTAGGATATAAACAAATGAGACTTGTTGGAACAAACATATGCTGTTTCAGGCTTTCAGGTTTAATTTTCCCATCATCATCAATATTCATAATAATGGTCTATTGACCATTTACTGGAAAAACTAAAGAATAAATCCTGAAAATATTTTGTCCTTCAACAATGAAAATCTATTCCAAAACAACAAGTTGATAAGAGGACGTCATATTCTACTCCAAAAATTATTCAAAGAATCTGCTGTCAGCTATATAACTTCACATGTCCTGGTTGTAATGTTTATTACATAGGCAACTGAATGCTGCATTAATTTCCACATTAAGGGAACATTCAGGAGGAAGCACATCTAACTGGTATTATGAAACTTCAGTTACCTTTGGACCATATACAACTGCACTGAAATGTCTAATCAGAATAAATACTAGGACACCCTACTTCATGTAGAAGCCTTTCCATTAGCATTGCCATTTCTCTAAACAGTGGTCTGCACATCTGTAAGAAACTGAAGATGTTTCCATAATGTTGAGATTATAGGCCTGTTTCACAGCAGACATTTTGATTCATTGTTATAAGAAAGGCACAGGTGTTACTATTAACATTAATCACTGGACCTGTTTATTGTCCCATTTTACACAACACAGGTAGAAGTAATAACATTAAACATAATGCACAATATCAGAATCGTAGAACTGGCAAAGGTAAATGAATTGCAGCTATCATGAATGTCTTTAACTGAGCCTGTACTTTTCAATATACCTGCAAAGAAAAAGGTCTAGTTGCATTAAAAAGATACCTCAAGAGTGAATTACTGACTTAACCAGTGCTCAGAAGTCTCTGTCCATAGGGGCCTCAGCTCTGACTGACTTCAAGCAGGGCCCTTGGTGGTAAAGAGAACAGTCAATCGGTTTCAGAAATGTAATTTCATAAATATGCATGTAAAGTTGCAGTGTCTAAGTCGTGTACAATGTAAAGTAAGTAAGTACTGGGTTTTCTGGACACTGGATGTCATATACAAGAAGCTTATTCACAATGTATCAACTACTGAAAGTGACTTGGCTCAGAAGACATGAGTCATGTTCACAGTGTTATACTATGACTGTCATCAGGATGAGTGTTGTATAGTAGCATGCAGACTTTTGGAAGAAAGATATGATCATAATACAAACCATAGATTTGATCTTGATTACCAGCCCCACCTCTGATATTTAGACATGGACCGGTAATGACTATTTTGATGTCAACTCTATTCCATGACACAACTCAGTTTGACAAGTATACCGGTTAATACAACATTCTCTTCTTGGAATCACTGATTTATGCTCATGATAGTGGCCACACACTTCACTAGGTTGCTATGTAGAAAGCCATCACCTCATTTTGCTGCAGGAGGGATATCTGAAGTGATCCATTAGGAAACAATTAGCAAAATCCATGGCTATAAAAAGCCCCACAGTTTAGACATAAAAGAGCAATTCTTTCTCTTTAACATTTGCGAAAATGTAGTCAGTTGTTGATCATTACAATGGCCTAGATTCCCACACATATCCCAAATGGCAAGGTGACATAAAAGCACATGATGGTTAAGATAATTCACGCCATTTCCTCAGACCATATGTGACATCACTGTAGACTCAGCATAAAAGGGATGATCAGGGTAGATGTTTTCTGAGAATCAACAACAGAGGGTGTTTGTGTATAAAACACTGCAGTGCAGTATCCCCAAATCTCACAGTCATAATGAGATTTCTATTCCAGCTTGCAATGCTGCTGTGTGGGTTGTGTGTAGCACAGGTTCAGACACAGGATGACCCTAACACAATGAGGTTGTGTGGCCGGAAACTTCTGCGGGCACTGGTGTACACCTGTGGAGGATCCAGGTGGAGAAGACTGACAGGAGGAGAGGACAAAGTTCGAGAGGGTCAGTATGGAGCTGCTTGAATTTGTCTTAATACCTTTGGTGTTAATACCACAACTCTAAACAGAATCGCAAAATAGGAGACATCTTGACATCTTGTAAACAAAAGCTGATATCTCTTGGCAGGCAACAGGGAGCCAAATCTACTGAAGATGTCAGCCTTGGATCGTCATTGGCGGGACCAGAACCAAGCCTTAATAACAACATGTTGTCAACAAGGTTGTCGAAAGAGTGACCTGTACATGCTCTGCTAGAAGGAAACGTCACCTGTCAGTCCTTGATTAGTTTGAAAAGCAATCTTCAGAATTGTTAGGGTAGTGTGATTTAATTCTCTACATCTCAATCAATAAAATCAGCCATGAATTTCCGTTGTCAATTCTGTTTTATCATGTTTTTATGTGGCAAACAATGTAGATAAAGAAATTTTCAACAACAGAAATGTCTTCATAACTGACAGAAATAATAAGTTAATTGTTTTTTATGTATTTACCAGTTTTCAGGCAATGTCTGTGAATCACTCAAAGTAAACAGCAAAGACAGTTGCCACACCGAACAAATAGCTATTTTTGAAAGAGTAAGAGGCGAAGGTGTCGTTGGATGCATCCCACAGACAGCGGCTGCTGATTTGCATGCTCTGCCCAGTGAGCTGGCCGATGTGGACCAGGACAACAATTTTATATCTGGGGATCATGAGGTCCTTCACACGAGCTCTTATCACCTGGGAGGGCAAATCAAAAGAATCAGCCTCAATAAAGCAGAAATTCAAAGATATTCAAAAGGTTTTGCATGAATGAGCTTTTCATTTACCTCACATATCGTTTTTGTCATTTTTTGAGACCACTCTGATTCATATTTCTCTTCTTGAAGGTAACTGGTAAGTACATCCTTCAATATGTCTGTGACAGCAGGGACAGGGAAGCATTTGTATGGTCCTGCGGTCCAAAACACATAAACATCGATACCATGACAGAATAAAATGTGTTTTTTGTGTGACTGCTTTGATTAATAGGATAAAAAAAAATTGATGCATTGATTGAATAGCTGGGATTCATTAAACTGACTAATATTGCCTCGAAATATTTGCTGCATTTACATGTTCTGCCCTTGTTCAGCTCCTATCCTACATAAACCAGTAGCATGAATAGAGCTTTCATAATTTAAGGCTAAACTTTTACCTCAGAACTGTCATTGCTCTAAGTAAGGTTGAAGAACACAAATTAATCACATAAAAATTTAAATCATGGCTCAAATATGAGATTCATTAGATGTGTATGTGTAGTTGGTAATGATGCTGTGATGCTGAGTATCTGTCATAAAGGCAAATGCTGTCTCACCCAACTGGTAGGTGTTGTCTATTGTCACAACCAACCGAGCGTTGTCATCATGGTGTCCTAGATCATCCATGTATGATGCAGTACTGACAGAGCTGAAAGTAATTATTAAAGAGAGTTCACTAAAACTTCTCTATCAAGCATATTGTATTTGGGAATACGTCCTGAATATTGCCAGTTAGGTCACATTACAATTAATGAAGATTACTGACAAACATACAACAAAGATAAAAGGTGAAGACTGAACACTGGCCCATAATATAGTCTACTCACTCTTTAGTCCTGCCAGTTGTTTCTTTGCCTCTTGCACCATGGCTTGCCTCTGAGGGCACTTTGCCTGTCCTCTTCTCTCTTCTGTGGGATTTGTGTTTAAGCTGCTGATCAGACATGACTGCTTCCTCTTTCTTTAGCTTGTTGTTAAAGGACCAAGGCCTAGCTTCAAAATACTGAGCTCAGTTAATATCAAAACATATATACATTACAGTTAGTATCTAGTGGTTAACTCCAGCACATTAATTCTCCCTAATAAACTTTGGATGCTACTGAAATAAAAATATCGATATAAAAACTGAGAGGGTAGCGTTGACGTTAAATGATTTAACGATTAAACTGATTAAACTTTGCTAGCTTTTAGCACAGTGGTGGTGGTGTTTGCTCGTTTATAAACAGTTCTTTTTGTTAAAGTTAGCTTGATAGTATAGTTTTACAGGACATATAACGTCATAAAGAAATATTACTCAGGGAAATTTAACACGTTTGTACCGACTTCACGACCTCTTCATTCGAGCAGAATCAAATAGCCCTACGGAGCTTCGTGTTGTCATGGCAACCATAAACCAAATCAGTGGGAGGGGTTTTAATGTAAGATACTTTCCTCTCAAGTCTCGTGACACTCTTAATTCTCGCAAACTTGTCCAAAGCTTGACACAGTAGCCTCATTTTCAACTGTGAGGTTAATTAACTCATGAATAGGGTTTATCTAACAGTAATTTGTGATTATATTTTCAATCAATCAATTAATTGTCAGACTATTAAGCATAATAAAAGTTTTCACAGGCTAAAAAAAGTCCGATCCCACATCTCAGAGATTAAAGTCTACAATACCATGTTTTGGTCGAGCAGTAATCCAATATAAAATAGAACACGGAAGCATCAGAACCTCCCATTTGAGAGGCTGGAAGAAGGTTTGATATTTTTCTTTAATTAACAATTTTATGTTGTTCAGCTAATTGATTCATTTCAGCCCTATGCTGGATTATCTTTGGAAATAGCAAAATATATTAATCCAAGTCCACTTGATTTATGATTTTCTTTTAAGTGGACCTTCAGTTCATTTTTGGCTATGCTGTTAACTACCCTAATAATCTCAGGTTCAAAGATCATTCTTGAAATTGAAAAACAATAAATATAACCTATTATACTATTATAGTTGTATAAGAATAGAATTTGCCGTTTGCAGTTATCACAATTTTGAAGGCATTCAAATTTCATTGTTCTTCCAGAGCACTTTAAAGACTTTTTCTCACATTGGCTTAAGGTCCAGAATGAACTTTGAACCTCAGTTTTAAGCCAGAATACACATGCAAATACTTCAAATGTACTTAGCACAGGTGAACAATTGGACCTTAACATCCCTGAAACATCAGAAATCAGAATGAGTCATTTATTTCTATAGCAACATAGGTCATTTTACAGTCTGGCAAATTTGTACATGTAGTACACTTTTATAGCTTTGAACAAATGAGGGAGATATAAATGTCTCATATTTCCTCTTCTTTATTACCATGTAAAACAGATATTACATTATATCATGTTTTTCATGTATTTCCTTTCAAAATCTTTGGATGGGAAATTTACATGAAATATTTGCATATTCTGTGTCTAATGCAGTGAAAGGAACGCAGCCAAAAGGTTGTAGAAAAGATAAACTTACAGAAAACCTCTGATATTGGAGGACAAAGTATATGCTTAAAAATAAGGATAAGAAACACATAATGATTGTTAAAAAACACACACACACTTAATTCAAAGAAACTGTGTTGTTGTTGTTGTTATTTTTTAAATATTACACCTAGGCTCAAACTGTTAGTCAAGATTTCAAAACAGTAAATAAAATGTGATGTCCAAACACATATCTACATGTTACATGTGAAATGAAGCCATGAATTGTTTTATAGATGATGATTAAGGTGTGTTTCGTGTGCAAGTCAAACACAGGAGAATGTCCAGCACCTACAGTATATTAGCTGCATGAAATGGGAATATGACTGAATGTCAGATTTATTGACAAAGAGTTTGTGAAGGTGCATCAACAGCAGAACATAGGGGAGGTTTAAGTGGAGGCAAAAAAAGCCTCCTCTCATAGCACGATTATACAATAACACACACACCATGACCTCACTGAAATGGATAAAGTGGTATTGCATTGATAAGACTGGTGATGTAGAAATGCAGATTTCATGCGGCACCCTTTGGAGTTTTTCATCAACAGTAACATGTTTTTTTTTTGTACAAGAAACCCACATGTGAAACAACAGATGAAGAGAATGGCGGTGTTATGACATGGAACCTAATGCGTTATGAGTGCTGACATCAACAAACCGAGACAATCACAGACACATCCATATGCAAAGAGAAATATTTGAAACATAGTTTTTTTAATATACACTCTGTACACTTAAGTGTTTAAATATTGCTATTAGAAAATGATAAAACATTTCATCAACATGGTGGAAAAGAAAGAAAATAAAACAGGGACATGAACAGTGCTGTCTTCTTGATAAACCTCCTCTGTGATGTCCCCAACAATCCCTGTCATGTCCTCTATCAAAGATCATGGTCGAAGATATTGGCCATGTTTTTAAGCTGCATCAAAGGAGACTCCTACAATGGTCAGGCCAGGTCAGGTCTTTCTTCTGACACTTAAAGCTCCCCTGCCCCACAGTATGACAATCACATCTGGCTCTGTGCATCTCACTTCTTAAGGCCTAAACATAAATTCTGCAACGTTAAAAGAATAATTTACCCATACTGTTGCACTGAAAGTAGCAGCTTCTGTTATTCACATAGCTATTGCCTTACTGTTACAAAATCTGACCAATCACATACCACCACAAATAAATTTTATGTATCTAAGCATTGCACTTGTCCAACGTGTTTTTCAGCAGGTCAAACTGCTATAACTATTTTGTTACCAGACGGTGTCAGCTCTCTACTTATATGACCCATTAATGGTAAAATGCCATCAGCAGTAGTAGTGTTAAAGGCTGCACGTGTAGCACTATGGCATTATATTGCTGCTTCAATCCACCACTGCACATAAATTATTACTTTGTAGAGAAATTATCGCACAACTAATACTTTAAGTAAATAAAAATCTATTTTGTGCTCAGCAAATATATTTGTATGTTTGCTATTAGCAACATGAAGCATACAGTAATAAACCCTCTGTGGCACAGTTTCAGAAATTGTACACAGTGAGTTCAGACTGCACATTTTCTGTCTTATCCGAGTGCACGCAAGTTTATTGATTGCTAAGAAAGAAGGGAAGCACTGATAGAATGATAAGCAGGCACAAAAGGATTTGATACAGTTTTGGTTTCATACCTATTCTCATTAACATTTTTGAAACTCTCCTCAGAGAAATATCCAGGTCTTTAATCATTAAATGCTCCATTGTGTTCAGCAACTAGCTTTAGATTGTGTACTAGCAAAAAATATGTTTCCATTCTCAAAAACATCCACCAACCAATTAGGATTGAGGCACAAATATAATTCCATGTAAAAACCACCTTCAGATTAAGTGTGCTGATGTTGGTCCAGTGCTGCAGGTCATTTTTAACTATTAACTATCTGACCAGTCAAGTCCCATTTTTATTTGTATAGTCCAATATCACAAATCACAAATTTGCCTCAAGAGGCTTCACCTTTAATCACAGAATGGGCTGTGACATGTGCAAGGTTTGTCTAAACAGAAACAAATTCTGCTCAGACAACAATAAAGACCAGTCACACATAAAAGGAAAATCAGATTTGAGGTGGCAGTGTACATGTAAATCAGATATTATCATGTGACCCATAACATACTGAAATACAACTGCAAAACCTATACTATACTTTTTTTTTTACATTTTCAATTCTTTTCCACCTTGTTTAAGATTCTTTTAATATTATATAATCTATTGACATTATCTTTTTACAGTGCATTTACAATGACAACCAGTTAAGACAAAATAAATTGAAATGATTAAGGCTGGATCACTGTATAAATTCACAAATATGTTAACAAACACAAAGAATCAAGGTTTCCCTATACTGAACTCAATGTACACACATAAGTTTTTCCAAGCACACAAAACTAATGATCCAATTTCCCTTTTGGATGAATAAAGTACTCTATCTACAGTATCGATCTTGTATTTATTTGCATAAAATCAGCAGCAGTCAATGTAGTGAATATGATGTTATAAAGTCAAATATCACCTGTGTGTTATGGTCTGGTGTTTTATTATTACTAATGGTTGCTAAAGATTATTAAAGATAAAATGTCAAATGCATCAAACATTAGATGTATCCATAATCTTCACAGTCAAAAGCCATTAATTCTCTTGGTTAAAGTTCACAAACAGGTCCACTAATTATCCGCCAAATATTTCCCTGTGAAGTAAAACAAAACATGTCAGAGAGTAGAGAAGTTCAGAAAACTGAGTGACTAAGTGATAAAGTGTTTCAAAATGAAGACAGTCAGCCACCATGAGGTCACGTGCATTTCTGACACTGAAACTGACCTGAAGCAAATCTCTTCTTGACCAGCGATAACCGGTAGCCGGTCCCTATCAGCTGGATGTCACACCCCGACAGGGTGCTTCCCTCACTGGTGAACTGGACCGCCAGCTGGGAGGGTTTACAGGGACCTTCCATCATTTGGAAGCGGCTCAGGAGAGCCCCTACTCCTGCTCCACATAGATGGTTGTTAGTTGAGTATGCTACTTGGAGTAATAAGGTAATACATTTTCATTTTGTGGAATCAAAAGTATGAATCAATGCATCGATTCAACTGTGAAATCAAATGATTGAAGAGTACTGAATGTGGATGATAGTGGTTTTACCTCCATTTTCAGATCTATGAGAGAGACTGGGAATCTTCCACTGTAGTGTTTGCTGCTCTGGATTCCTTTAAGAGAAAATAATTTAAAACATAAAAAATAAACTAAAGTATATTAATACAGATAAACTTGAAGATGGTGTTTCCACATACTAATCTTTCTGTCTACATTGGTTTACTTTTTATTTTACAACAGAGCATGTAAACACCCCTTGGGCAGGAATCTGCGCTCGCCTGGCTACGTGACCATGTGGAACCGAGCCTGAATGTGAGGCATCCTCACCAGGTCGCAGGTGGGATCATGGCTTGTAGTTTTTCTATGACCCCATCCACAGGTACCAGGAAGGTGATGTTGTGTAGCGGCATGGGGGCGGCCATAGCATCGGTGTTGTATTTGTAGTCTATTCTAAGGTCTGTGCTGGTGGCATCACCTCGCCAGCTCACTGCCAGATTCAGAGGAGTGGACTGGATCCCCTCTGCTGACACCTGTGAGACAGAAACAGAAGACGGTGAGTTTAATGGGTAGATCGACAGAATTGAAGATACATAGACAAATAGATCTTTGATACCTGATATTTAATCATGTCCACATTGTAGTATGTCGCCTGAGGCTTCTGTTCTGCCACTTTCTTCAAATGGCTCATCAAGTTTGGAATATTTACCCAGAATTCCTTAGTGTCAACACTGTCTGGTTTAGAATCACTAAGGGATATAAGGCAGGTATTTGACTCAGGCCAACATCAAGTTATTCTACAAACCATGTAAGCACCATAATTAGAAACTTTTACCATGTATGTCACATGTAACAACAAAGATCAGCGGTTTGATTGTATGTGTTTGCGTATAATATTATTCCTACCAACACAGCAGCTGTGGATTTGGGAGGACCTGCTCCAGCCGGTTGTAGTTGCTGATATTAAAGGTCAGGGCAGGTTGGGTCGGGTGGCTGGCAAAATGTCTGGTTATACCTGCAGGGAAGGACAGCACCATCTCCCCTGTGATCTTCACAACACATCTGAGATAGTGCAAGAGAAGAGGTAGGACTCAGACATCATGCTGAATAACAACACACATTACCAGGATGACCTTAGTATCAAAACTGAAAATGCAAAGGGCCATACTGGTTTTGTTAGCCTATAAATACATTTCTCCCATCACACTTAAACTTTTTTTTTAATCTTTCCTTTAGCTGTCAGTATTATTTGCACATCACAATTTCATTTTGTTATCACATTAGTCCATATCGAGAGGAACAACTTATTGCATCTGTTAAGTTATAGTTTCTAAGGATACATTTCCACCTAACTTATTTGGCTGGGCCCAATGAACACTCTAGTGTGTTTACCTAGTAAGTGCTTGGCGGTTCAAAATAAAAAATGAATGAAACCAGTGAAATGTAGTTGACACCACAGTAACTATACTCTTGTAACATTACAGAAAATATTTATTTCCCATTTCTCTCTTTGTCACTACTATGTTTTGTGAGCTGTGAAGATACATAGACACATCAGGTTCAGTAATATGATTTGATATCAGTTACCAAAATTTGATTATGTCTCTGTAGTCATAATTGTACAGTATGAAGTTACTAAAACTGTCCAATTGATGATTTATCGGTCAGTCCATATTAAAACCTATTACTAAAAACCCAGTGTGAACACAAACAGACTAGAGCTAAAAAAAACAACAATATATTTTTCCCTTGGTCCAGCCCAAAGTAACCAAAATGCAGGTGTGAAAGCATCTAAAAGAAAAAATGTGAGCCTACTTGCTGGGATCAGCGCCTTTAAAGTAGGCATTGATGGTTTCTGTGAAGGCAGCTGCCACTGGCAGAGTGTCCTGGGGTCCCATGGTAAGTGGGCTGGGTCCTCTGGAACATCCTGAATAAACACATACAAACACACACAAAGGGTATCCTAAAAAAATCTCATCATAAACTATGTCTGCTCTCCTGGGTTGTTCCCAATTTGCCCAGTAGTTCAGCCACAGGTTACACACAAAGGATAGGGGGTGTATAAACAAACTAAAGCAAACAGTTAAAAGCAAAACTGAACCATCCATTATGAATCTAGATTGTAGATAAGTGAGCAGGACATGGGATGAGACAGGCAGCAATACTCTTGCTTTGTGAACACAAGGACCACAGGTAAAAACAGGGCAGGTGTTTTCAGTACATGCACTGGTAAGACTCACCTTCAAAAGCTAAATAATATCTGCTGAGGTCAAACCATACCAGAGGCTGTGAGGCCTCTGAGAGCACAGAGACATGAGGAGGAAAGAATCATGGAGAGGGACAAGACTGTGAGGCAAGGATGCAATGATGAGCGACAGACAACATGGATTCAGACTGAGATGTGAGACTAAAGAAAAATAAAAAAGACCACTTGGACTTGTTGGTAGTGTACCTGTGGCAGACATGCTGAGGTCCCTCCCTAAGGTTGGAGTGGATGCTGCACTCTGTGAGGTAATGGAGGAGATTGAGGAAGAGCTCTCTGCCCTGGCCAGAGGCGCAAAAGGTGGAGGGCTGCCCGAAGCTGGGGGACTGAAGGGCCAAGTCTGGAGGCAATAGATACACTGTGAATCTGCTGTCTATGAGTGAGAATGAACAAAAAAGAACTCATGCAGAAACCATAATAAATTGTTCAAACAGCAGAATAAAGTGTCATGTCAAAGGAGAGGAAGGCAAAGAATGAAAGGACACTTCACATGTACCGGGTCTGTGATTGGTTTCCCTGGGGGCAACTTTGGTCGTGAGGACGGTCGAGGAGGAGGAGGTGGAGGAACTGGGCTGCCTCGAGACTGAGGCGTGGCAGGACGAGCTGGAGACGAGGGGCCTGCGGCACAAAACAGTGTCTCAGCAAGAGGCATTTTGATTGTACTGTCAGTTTCCCAGAGCGATCGTGTTGACAACCTCACTGGAACACACTCTGGACTTTTAATTGTGCTGAAAATTGAATCTGTAATCATACTTACTTTAAACAAGCACACTGACAAATACTGTAGGTCAAACCTTTCCATTCTATGCAAAACCAAGTCTGGTTGGGTTTGTTTGGATTTCTGATCAGACTGCACTCACTTAAGCAAGTATCTGAGTAAAAACACAGGAGTGACTGACATTACATTACATTGTTAGCATTTACTGCACCACGATCTTTGAGGCATCTGTCAGATTAATGCTAAAATTTGCATAGAATTTCTTTTATTTCATATCAATTTGTCAGCATTGTAATCCGTGTTTTGTAGTTATGTGATATTTATGACATTACCAATAAAGCTTTGTGAGTTTATAAGGCTGAGAGCATCATGGTGGTGCAGTGGTTAGCGCTGCCACCTCGCTGCAAGAGGTTTCCGTGTTTGTGATTGAAACTCATGGCTGACTGGTGTCTGTCTGCAAGGCTGTTCTGTCTGTGCTTGAGTGTGGCTTCCTCCCACAGTCCAAAGACACACAGGTGGGATTGATTGGTGGCTCTAAATTGTCCATAGGTGTACGTGTGTTTGTGAATTGTTGCCTGTCTCTATGTGTCAGCCCTGTAGACTGGTGACCTGCCCAGGTTGTAACTCAGCCTCTTTCCCATCAGCTACAGCCTATCCCCCGTCGGCTGGAATAGGCTCCAGCCCACACAACCCATTACAGGATAAGTGATATCAGTAATGGATGGAAAATATCTTAACTACAATACATAATTATGTATTAATTGCTATAAAACAGTATTTAAGAAAGGTTTGGTAAATGGTCTTATAGTTGTATAGTGTTTTTCTTTGCATTGCAGCACACTAAAAGCACTTTCACACTATTTGGCCATTCACCCATTTGCTCTCCCAAGCACTCACACACCGGTGTCATCACTGGGAGCAATTGGCAGTTCAGTGTCTTGCTCAAGGACACATCGACATGTGGACTGGACAAGCCAGGAATCGAACTGCTAATCTTCCGGTTAGGAGGCGACCCGCTCTATATGTATTTAAAAATCACAAAATTATAACTACATTAAATACAAATAGTGTTTATATTTACTGAAAACTAACAGCAGAGTGAAACTGACCATTCATGTGGTGGTGATGAGTGTTACATTTGGTAGAGGTTTCTGAAAGAGGACCTGCACTTCAGGCATCTCAGTGTGATTTTTCAAACAAACCAAGTTTAATTAAATACACTGCTCCAATCAATCTCTATGTGAAGGCAGCATCGGTACTTTTTAGAAAGAGACAAGCATACTCACTGCTGCCTGAGTAGGGCCCTGGTGAAGACATAATAGATCTGTAGGTGGTTGGAGGGAGTGGAGGTGGTGTGCCCCTGAAGCTTGGTGTCAGTTCTCTGGGTGAGCCCACAAAGTCTGAAATATCTTCTCTCAGGTATGCAGCCTCTGGAGTCCTCTTCCCTCCTGTGCCCCCCATGACAAGGGGAGAAGTGATTCCTGCCCGTGGGGACCTCCGCTCCGCTGGCAGAGGAGGCACAGGGCTGATGGGGGCAGGGGAAGAAGAGTAGGCTGCAAACTGCAGCACCTCTTCATCAATAGCCTCCTCGTTAAGGCAGGCCGGGGGTGAATTAGAGCGGGAGAAATCAGGAGGCAGGGGAGGTGCTGGCTCATTCGGAGGAGGTGGTCCAAGCACAATGTCAGGGGGTGAGTCAGGTGGTATAAAAGGAAGAGGTGACCCAGGAGAAAATGATGGAGGTGGAGGTGAAGGCGGGGGCTCGTCTGGCGGTGGCCCAGGAGAGAGGCAGGGTGTGGAGGGGGTGGATGAGGGTGTGTCTGGGGGAGGAGAGTCTGGTGGCGGTGGGGGAGCGGGTTCGTCAGGGGGCGGAGGTCTGTCCTCAGTGAACGTGACCCATCTGGGAGACACTGTGTCCTCGCTTGTGCGGGGGCTGTCCACAGGGCCGAACACATCATCCAGGTCAGGGGCTGGGGAGCCTCGGTAAGAGGCAGAGGACAGGATGTTCAGGTAGATGGGGGCAGAATTGCGAGCTGCCCTTCCATTGGGTAGATCAGCTGCAATGAGTATGATGAAGCGTTTAGATCACACAGCTCTGATGAAACTCAATTGCGTGATCAGTATAGAATATTATTTTTAAAGCTAAACCTACCAGCAGAGTCCAAAGCATAGCTGTAATGACCTCTTGATGGAATGTTTTTTGGAGGAAGCGGAGGAGGAGCTGCATTAGGGAGGACAGTTCAGGTCAGGTCAGCACTACTGCAAACATACACAAGAGATAAATTTAGAAAGGTTCCTGTTTGAGAGGCCTACGCTTGTTGGCTCACCTCCTGTTGGGAAACTTCTGCTCAAAGGCGATTCTGAGCAGGGTCTTGATTCTCCCCATACATCACTTGGGACTACTGTTATTGAATGAAGAAGAAAACAATCAGTGTCACTTAAGTAAAATGAGTAAAGTCAGTTTGTGTGAAGATATGTCCTACTGACAGAGGACAGACCATCATATCTGGCATATTTGGTCTCTGAAGGCAGCCCAAAGAAAGCAGAGACATTCTGCGACACCCTGTCACTGCAATAGGAGACATACTACAATTAAAAACAGTACCTGCTCATCTGTTATTAAAGAAACATTTGCAGCAGTACAATCTTAAAAAGGGGGTATTTTAATTGGTCATTTGTTGATATTACTAAAGAAAAAAAGACAGACCTTGCTGTCTCAGGGGCAGGACTTGGTGTCGGGGTGGAGCGTCTGGGTCTACTGATCTCCTCACCTATGAGAAACATAAAAATGCTACTATTGCTCTGTTACACTTGCATTTGAACAAACTCCTATCACAAAAAAGCTTATTTTAATACTATCTAGTAGCATGGCCACTATAATTTGAAACAAATATTTGTGTTTCCTTCAGGATGAATTACATTAAATTTGGTGATCCCTTAATTTTTCAGTAAGAGCCATTATCAGGTCAAAACTTCACTTTGTCTAGTACTGTGGTTTATAACCAAATGCCTGCAAAGTGACATTTCCATCAGCCTCCACTGTACTTTTGTTTAGTTATACTTAGCAAATGTTAGCATGCTAGCACGTTAAATGAAAATGCCAGTCGTTAAGTGAAGATGGCTAGCATGCTGACAGTAAACATCAGCATGCTAGCATTGTTGTTGTAAGCATGTTAGCATTAGATCTAGTACTGGAGCTGCCTTGTGTCACAAGCCAAATTAAGATTTTATTTGATAATAAAGTGTCAATATATCGTATCAAGGCAGGACTGTATATTGTAAAAGGGAGACACACAACAGAGGTTTTAAAAAGTGATTTCCAAATATATACTTACATGACAAATTCCTTTTCATCAGCCCCTGTAGAGAAAAGAACAAAATCCAAACAAAATATCAGACAGTATTTTATTAACGCATACAGTGCCAACAAATGCTTATTTTAAATTCTTTTATTGGTCTATTCAATGTTAAGATGTCTTCTTATTAAAACACGTCACAAGGCAGTGAAATTAAATGGAGATTCATAAAAATTATAGATGCTTTAATTTCCTAATAAAGTCCTAGACAAAAATATGATCTATTAAATAAGATAGATTAAGTTAGTCATTTTCCTTTACACAACCTGATTTGCATTGGAAATACATAAACATTTGTCACCACACTAGCATATTTAAAAAAAAAAAAAAAGATTCTGAGACTTAATACTAAGCCATGATTGAGTTAGATGGATTATTCTTATTTTGCTGGAGATTGTGTTCAATTCTGGCCTGCACTTTTTAAAACATATCAGGCATCAGAGATTATGAAAGCTAAGTTTCAGGCTGTCTGTTTCCAAACAGCCAGCAGATGGAGTAAGAAACTCACCGGGCTACGTCTCTGAGACCAGCAAAAAGGAAGAGAGAACAGACCTGGGTCAGAGAGTGAGTGACAGATCAGTCAAATGGACACCAACTAAAACGGCACATACCGCACTTCTTTACTTTTATCGCAAAGCCTTAATAATGCAACACGAGTCATAACACCCTTGAGATCATGAGGACAGCACCCCGTACGACCAAGCACACACAGAAATAGCATGTCACTCAGCATGTACACTCCACTGAGACCAGCAGAGTAGGTCCAGAGCTTTGTGTGTGTGTGTTATGTTTACTGTGCATTATGTAACACAGACACTTTGCCACACAGGGTTCAAGTAAAGTTGTAGCTAAAAAGAAAAAAAAGGAAAAACAGAAGTGAAAAATGTGAGTTTTTTGGAGGCCTAAAGAGAAACAAACACTGACGATGAGAGAGCATGCAGGAAAAGGGCAAACCCATAAAGACAACTGAGAAATGCGTTATCACAAGAGGGAGCACTTTTTCAAGCATTTCCACCCCAAGGGAACTCATCCCATGCAATCTCTGCAGGTGGTAATACAAAGATGTGTGTGATGTATGACAGGCTTACCGGACTCCTCCTCTACAAGATGAGACAAGGGGGGGGGAGGGGGGACACACAAACAAAGAGTTAAGCAGATACAAATCAACAGCTATTAAAATATATTAAACTGAAATGTGTGTGTGCAACAAAACAAGACGGCACTCACCAGAGACGGCGAGAGTGCCAGGCCTCCTACCGAAGCTTTTAGCTCATCCATAGATGGAGGGACACACCTGGCGCTGTCCGACACCAGCGGCTTGATCTTAATTTTAAACTTTTTCTTACTGTCTTCATCTTCCTCTGAGTCGCTGGAGGAGAAAAAGTGCTTTGCTTTGGAAGCTGGTGAATGCTTGTCAAGGACACTAAGTGAACCTTCAGTAGCTTTTAAAGGTAATACATCCTTTCAAAAGGCATACATTTAAATACATACTGTACATCTGTAGAGTGCGCTGTAGTAAAATAATGACAGGTCCATTCTGTGTCTCTGTCTGCTCCCAGTAAAAGACACTCCTGCTCTGTCTCAGCTAGGGTTGCAGCACTATACCGGTTTCATGGTATACCATGGTGTGAAAATTGATGGTTATCATACCACACACATTTCTTTATTACCAGTCTTGAAGAAAAAAAAAAGTGTGTGCACCTTTCTTCCCGATGCCTATCAGACCCCATGACAGGCGCCACATGCACACATGGAGCGGACAAATGGCAGCAAGAAGGAGCCCATCACCAAACTCCCTCCACCAAAAATAGAAATTAAGATCAGCAGCACAGGATCACTTTGGATATCTTGAAAAGGAACACCTTAGAGAACACCATGCCTCCACATGGATCAATGTGTCCTGTTTATAACTTTAAGCCCAAACAATAGAAGTTGAGTACAAACTTCAGTTTCCACATTTTCCACATTGTCTGTTCATTCACTAAACTCTGACTTACAAAAGGATTTGCACTGATTCCAATCTGACCCTAGAAACACACACACCCACACACACACACACACACGCACACAGAATTTACCTGCTCACATAAGTGTGTGTGCATAAGTGAAGGTGCAGGCAGGATCTGTCTGGCTGCACTCTCATGCGGCTACAATAAATTAACTATTCTGATAATCATTCAGAGCATTGTGGTGGCATTTCTCACTATTGTCACAAAATTTACAAATTAGACAATCAATTAACGGAGAAAATAATCAGCAGATTATTCGGTAATGCAAATAATCAATAGTTGCACTTTGATACAAAATAGTTCAGCAGAGCTCCACCTCAACTAACTACAATAGTCAAGTCCTGCTTTTGCTGTATATCAGTGCATGAGTGATAGGCTGGTAATGTAACAATATATTAGTATAGCAGGATATATAGTATAACATTTTTCTGCACTGAGTAACCTACTTCTACTTTTAATACTTTAAGCACATTTTCATGATACTTTTACTTAACATTTTCAATACAAGACTTTTTCTTGTAACAAACTAGGCTACTTTTACAGTGTGGTAGCAGGTCTTTTACTTAAGCAAAGGATGTGAATACTTCCTCTACTAGTGGTGCTAAGATGCAAACTGACATGCTTTAGTTATGTGCTTTTTTAAAACCATGTTTATAACTCTGTTTATTCTTCAATCTAGTGCTACAATCCAGCTCAATCAACTGTCACAGTCTCTTCCAATAAAAACCATTCATTACTTTGAGGGTCGTTGTAGCTGATAATAATAATAATTTTGTAATACAGTATACTGTAATACTGTGAAACCATGATATTTTTTGAGATGGTTACCATACTATGAAAATTTCATAGCATTGCAAATCTAAGTCTCAGCTAAATTATCCTACTCAGGGGAAGTCTTTATACTACCAGTTCAAACATATAGCTGCTATCACTCGTGGGATACCAGTTAGGTGTGGGTCAGTTGTCAGTGAGAACAGTGGCTAAATGGTTAACTGAGAAGCCAATCCAAATGTAATGTGCCCTTATCTATCTATCTATCTATCTATCTATCTATCTATGCACCTATTCAATGAGGAGTCACTCAGCTAAACATGTCAGTTTTGCAGGAGTCCTTTGGCTCTGCACTAAAAGAATATCATCACCCTTGTCACCAGGTCGCAGGCTGAAACCCTCCTCATCCACGTCTGGAGAGGCCTGCAAAAGAGGGAGAACAAGGGTGATGAACTTTTCTTGTTGTCAGTCACACACCGCATCAGCAGCACAGCCTAACTCTTCCCTGTGAATGTGCATGTAAATGTGAATCAGATTTCACAAATCTCTTGCCCCAGAAGGTCAGCTTCCCAGCTGAAGCTTCTGCTGACTCATAGAATATTCAGCTGTCACTCTATATGTACTGTTTACTCAGTAATTTCAGTGTTATATTATACTGACTGCAGCATCGCATCATATATTTCATGCACAAAGCTGTAGTGTTTGCTTGGTCAAAAGCAACAAAGAGAAGGAAAACAAGAAAAACAGGAGTAGACTGTGGATACTTACATATCTGTCCCAGTCAATCTCCCCATAGAAACCATTGGGCGCTCCATTGGCCTTTTTCTATCAACACAATGGAAACAAGACAGGAAAACAAAAGAATAATTTTCCATTTAAAATTAAATTTTACAATATGTATCATCAGTATTTCCTTTTTTTCTGGTCCTTAATATATAGGCTAACATACAATAGATTATACAGTTACCGTTAATAATATCCAGTTGCGCTCTCTATCAGTTACTATCAGTTAGTGGTAGGAGTAGGGGTGTGACGAGATCTTGTCCCATGAGATTTCACAGTATTTAAATGTGACAATAATTTTCATGGAGGCAAAAGCTGTCTCAGGATATCAGTACATAACAGAACCAGAGCAGCACCCAGTATGACTAAACATGAGGCAAAGTGACTGTACGTTCACCCTAGTCTGGAAAAAACACAACTCCCTGCTGTGTTTTAACTCATGGGGTGCATTGGTTGGGGGGTGAAGGGTTGCACTGTACTGTTGTAGGCGTGTATGATATGGCCACGATGTATGATGTGACGAGTCAATTTGAGCGGCTTCATTCACCTTTCCAGCCCATGAGTTTCTGTTGTGTTTTGGTTAGCCATGCAGCTAACGTAGCCTACTCTACCTTAGCACCAACTCTACCACCAGTGTGTCTCCATTAATAGACACACATTTAACATCCAGTACTAATGAAAATGTCTTTAGTACTGGTTGTTATGGTGCATTAATTGTGGCCCAAATTTGACAGTGAATAGCAATGAATGCTCATGCTAACAAGGTAAATAAAAGAGTCTTCTTCTCGTGGGTGACCGCATCCCGATCGTCCCCCAAATACATGATTGGTCAACACAGCGATTTTGCCAGATGATGTCACTGTTCAGTGCAGTGAGGACAAAAATAGCATAGAAGGTCACACACAGCTTCAGACAGAAGTTAGAAGCTCATACACAGTTATAAGGTCTGAAGAGACTCCTGTGAAATCATACAGGAGAGAAGCCAGTCAGCTGAGTTTGTGGCAAAACTTTTTGCAGTGCTTTCATATTGTGTCTTTTACTGCATATGGTAATTCATACTCAGCAAGTAGAACTGAAGTGACATTTATTACATGATTAGTTAAAAAATTTCAAAGTGCACCTGCACTGCTTAGCGTTTGTGACTTTCAGTCAAATAAAAAATGTCTTTCCAGTCAAATATTTCATCATAGAAGATTTCTTTAAAATAGCATCAACATAGCATCTCACCTCGTTCTCGTGAACCCAATATTGTGTATCATCTTTTCTCATGAGCTAAGTGTATCATCACACCTCCAGTCAACAGTACATAAAAATGTAAATACTATCAGTTAACACTTGATACTTTCTGTATTTGGATCATTTCCTTGATTAAATAGCAGCATATTGTTGCAAATCCTGAGAAAAACTGAGACAACAGAAATGAAATACTTCAGAAATGTTTAAAATGTACATACACTTCCTTTCTTTCCACTTCCAGCTCCTCCCTTGTCAGGTGAGCTCCTATTTGAAGTTATAAGATGAGAGAAAAGATGTTTTAATAATACTCAGAACAATTTTTCTCTTTGGCCTAGGGTCTCAAAACTAGGGTTATTATTATTATTAGGTATTGTTTTAAATCTTAATTATTCTTATTAATATTATTATTATTATTAATGATCCCAGAGTTATGGTACCCATTACATAACACCTTAATTTGGGAAATACATTTACTGCAAAACCCTTTTATTCAATTAACAACACATTTAAAACTTTCTTAAATGATAAATATCTGAGCACAACCAGGTGTAAAAATACTTTGCCTGAATAAATTCTAAAATTAGCTAAATGAGAACTGAAATCAAAGAATCTGACCAAACACTGAGTGCCAATTTTTAGTACTTGACAGTAACACACAGTGTTATGGACACATTGGGTCAGTACCTTAAGGGCATTTAGGGTTGATACCAAACCCTGTTTATTCACATTCTGAAACTGATGAATTTTCAAGCTGTTTCATGGTTGTATTTTATAAGACCATGAGTGTTTACTGTGCTACAAGCATGTAACTGAGCAAACTCACGCTGTGTCTTGTTCTTTGTCTCTCTTTCGTAAACCCAGGGCTTTCCTCGTTCGGTTTTTCAGTCCTAAGACAGAGAGCAAGAGAGACAGACCGAGAGAGAGAGAGAGAGAGAGGCAGAAGGAGAATAGCATCGTGAAGAATTCATTTACAATTTTAGTGCATGATATAAAGTTAACTGTCTTGTCATTAAAATGCACTTAAACGCAAATAACGCACAAGAGTAACAGGCTGATGTACAGTAACTAGAGCAGGAAGCTTCCACAGAAAACGAAGCAATGTAGACGCAATCCCCTTAAGTTTCCCCTCCCTCACAGCATAAAACGGAAAGGAAACAAGGGTGATCAATGTGTCCACTTCATTAGTGAGATTTGAGGGAGAGCAGGGAGAGATCTACTACAGCAGCCATCGGCCAAACTGGATGCCAAGACCCCGCAGAACTGCTGGTTGGCACCACACAGAGCTGAAAACGAGACAGGAAAACCAACAAAGAAACAGTTCAGTTGTATTCATGGCCTAAAGGTTTCTTGTAGAAGTACAGTGCCTTGCGAAAGTATTCGGCCCCCTTGAACTTTACGACCTTTTGCCACATTTCAGGCTTCAAACATAAAGATATAAAACTGTAATTTTTTGTGAAGAATCAACAACAAGTGGGACACAATCATGAAGTGGAACGAAATTTATTGGATATTTCAAACTTTTTTAACAAATAAAAAACTGAAAAATTGGGCGTGCAAAATTATTCAACCCCCTTAAGTTAATACGTTGTAGCGCCACCTTTTGCTGCGATTACAGCTGTAAATCGCTTGGGGTATGTCTCTATCAGTTTTGCACATCGAGAGACTGAAATTTTTGCCCATGCCTCCTTGCAAAACAGCTCGAGCTCAGTGAGGTTGGATGGAGAGCATTTGTGAACAGCAGTTTTCAGTTCTTTCCACAGATTCTCGATTGGATTCAGGTCTGGACTTTGACTTGGCCATTCTAACACCTGGATATGTTTATTTGTGAACCATTCCATTGTAGATTTTGCTTTATGTTTTGGATCATTGTCTTGTTGGAAGACAAATCTCCATCCCAGTCTCAGGTCTTTTGCAGACTCCATCAGGTTTCCTTCCAGAATGGTCCTGTATTTGGCTCCATCCATCTTCCCATCAATTTTAACCATCTTCCCTGTCCCTGCTGAAGAAAAGCAGGCCCAAAACATGATGCTGCCACCACCATGTTTGACAATGGGGATGGTGTGTTCAGGGTGATGAGCTGTGTTGCTTTTACGCCAAACATAACGTTTTGCATTGTTGCCAAAAAGTTCGATTTTGGTTTCATCTGACCAGAGCACCTTCTTCCACATGTTTGGTGCGTCTCCCAGGTGGCTTGTGGCAAACTTTAAACAACACTTTTTATGGATATCTTTAAGAAATGGCTTTCTTCTTGCCACTCTTCCATAAAGGCCAGATTTGTGCAGTATACGACTGATTGTTGTCCTATGGACAGAGTCTCCCACCTCAGCTGTAGATCTCTGCAGTTCATCCAGAGTGATCATGGGCCTCTTGGCTGCATCTCTGATCAGTCTTCTCCTTGTATGAGCTGAAAGTTTAGAGGGACGGCCAGGTCTTGGTAGATTTGCAGTGGTCTGATACTCCTTCCATTTCAATATTATCACTTGCACAGTGCTCCTTGAGATGTTTAAAGCTTGGGAAATCTTTTTGTATCCAAATCCGGCTTTAAACTTCTCCACAACAGTATCTCGGACCTGCCTGGTGTGTTCCTTGTTCTTCATGATGCTCTCTGCGCTTTAAACAGACCTCTGAGACTATCACAGTGCAGGTGCATTTATACGGAGACTTGATTACACACAGGTGGATTCTATTTATCATCATTAGTCATTTAGGTCAACATTGGATCATTCAGAGATCCTCACTGAACTTCTGGAGAGAGTTTGCTGCACTGAAAGTAAAGGGGCTGAATAATTTTGCACGCCCAATTATTCAGTTTTTTATTTGTTAAAAAAGTTTGAAATATCCAATAAATTTCGTTCCACTTCATGATTGTGTCCCAGACCTGCCTGGTGTGTTCTTTGTTCTTCATGATGCTCTCTGCGCTTTAAACGGACCTCTGAGACTATCACAGTGCAGGTGCATTTATATGGAGACTTGATTACACACAGGTGGATTCTATTTATCATCATTAGTTATTTAGGTCAACATTGGATCATTCAGAGATCCTCACTGAACTTCTTTAGAGAGTTTGCTGCACTGAAAGTAAAGGGGCTGAATAATTTTGCACGCCCAATTTTTCAGTTTTTTATTTGTTAAAAAAGTTTGAAATATCCAATAAATTTCGTTCCACTTCATGATTGTGTCCCACTTGTTGTTGATTCTTCACAAAAAATTACAGTTTTATATCTTTATGTTTGAAGCCTGAAATGTGGCAAAAGGTCGCAAAGTTCAAGGGGGCCGAATACTTTCGCAAGGCACTGTAAATAATGCTGGGTGGAATTTCAGTGTAACATTTCACCTATGTTTCTATTTCTCATTTCCGGTGTCACTGACCATCAGTTTGTAACATGAATAAATATCTTTAAAAAATCTGCCATGTACGATAAATAAAAAAAAAACTGTCGCCAAGTGCTGCTCAAGGGGGATTTGATGGGTTTTTCCTCTATAATAATAATAAAGTCTAGACCTTACTATGTAAAATGTCCTGTGCTGACCTTTGGTGTGACTTGGTGCTATACAAATAAAGTTGAATTGAATTGAAAAGATTCTTTAATTGATAATGAATTGTCCATGAAAATAAGAGTTACCATGCTAACACACTGATCTTTACCATATTAGTTCAGTCTATTATTATTATATTATTTTTTAAAATAGATATGCAGATATCTCTGTGTCTGACTTTGACATTTTTTGGACTTTCACATATTTTTGACAGCAAACTGTGACAAATTGGTTGAGCTACAGCAACAGTACAGATCATTGACAGTAAATATGATGGGTAGCCTGACAGCTCCCAGAAGTCAAGCCACTGCAAATCAACTGTCCCCTGGTGGCTGGTTGCAGCAGAGGTCATAAATCTCACCTCCTTCATGTTAGTGGATGGGACATGAGCCATGTGGATTTTGGTAAATATTATCATGCTGATTTGAATACAAGTTGTTTGTCTGGTAGGTTATTTAATGATATATAAAAGGGAGTATTTCAGTTGATTTGAATGCTTTGATTGGCGGTCTGATGCTGTCACTCCACTTCTGGTTGCAAAAAAAGCAAAATGGCAGCTGATGTATTCATGATATTTTGGCTTCACCTTTGCATAGTGGAGGGAAAGGGTGATGCCATGTCCATCATATATAGAGTCAATGGTACAGACAAGGGCAAACCAAGGCCCAGCAAGCTGCTCGTTTTTTTTCAGCAAACTCACAATAACAAGCTAACTCTTGATGGCAAATCACCGCAGGAACATTTATCCCAGGTTTTCTCATGTTTATGTACTGCCTATTCAGCTTAACATGATTTGCCTGAAACAGACAACTAACAGGTTTGCATAGCACAATGAATGTGAAGGCAGTGGACTTAGGAGGAAGCTCTCCTGGGTACTGAAGGACATGTCAGGGCCTGTGATATATTAGTAGCCAGCTGGGCTGTTCAATTGCACAGATTATTCCTGCATCATGACTCTTCATCAGTGGATACAGCTCTGTACAGTGACCCACCACCATGTGTCTTGTGTGGTAAAGATTAAAAATTGAGAATTAAACCTGATGCTGATACGGAACAAATCTGCTGAACTATATGACAGAAATTTCTTATTGTCACTAATTACATGGCAATGCAGATCACATTGTTGCAAGGTATCAATTAACAATATTAACTGTAAATACTGCTGAGTGTTTGTTTTCTTCTTCTTCTTATAGAAACAATTTATTTTTTAGATCCATTTTTGACAGGATGAGAACCGAGCTGATCCAACCATATGTAGAACTACAGTCCTGAATTTGAGTGGACTCAGCCATGTTTTTGAGACACATGTCACACAATCAGCAAGTTGCTGTATTAATCAGTCTAGCTGTCTATGCTGCCTGTGTGTGGGCTGGCATATTACTACTGCTTTAGGCGCACAGGCATGACCTGAAGCCGGATCCGTATAGGATTGGAATTGGTATCGGCAGATATTTAAAGTTAAGGGAACTGGATTATATCGGGGCCAAAAAACTGGATCAGGACATTCATAACATGCTCTTTTCAGTTACACATCAACAAAACCTTTTCAAGGATTGTAGTGGTTATTTCAAGTTTACCCTCCAAACTACAAATGGCTTCAAAAAAATACTCAGACTGCTTCACTTTTTCACACTTTATTGTGTTGTAGATTTAATTGGGAATGGATAAATGTGCCATCAGTCCACATTCGATAACCTATAACGACAAAGTGAAAACATGTTTTTTGTAGAAATGTTTGCAAATTTATTTAAAATCAAAAAAGGAAATCTTTCATTTACAAAAGTAGTCAAACGTTTAGGTACCTTTTTTTGTGGACACCTCTTTGGCAGCAGTTACAGCTTTGATTCTTCATGGCTAAGTCACTACAAGCTTTACACACCTGTATCTTGTAAACATAGCCCATTCTTCCTGGCAGATCCTCTCAAGCTCCATCAGATTGGTTGGGAAGTGTCTGTGCACTGCCATCTTCAGGTCTCTCCACAGACATTTGTAGGGAATTAAGTCTGGGCTTCGGCTGAGCCAACCAGGGAAAGTCAGACAGGTTTTCTTTATAAACCCCTCAGTACTTGGCTCATTCATTCTTCCCTCAGTTCTGACAAGCATGGTGCCACCTCCACCATACTTCACTTTAGGGATGGTATTAGCTAGGTGATAAGCAGTGCCTGGAGCTCACCACACACAGCACTGCTTGGAGTTCAATTTTTGTCTTCTCAGACCGTAACATTTTTTCATCATGCTCTCATAGTCCTTTGAATGCAGTTTGACAAACTTCAGGCTAGATATCATACGCCTTTACTTAAAGTGGCTTCTGTCTATCCACTCTACCATAAAGACCTGATTTATGGAGAGTTGTCCTTCTGGCATGTTCTCCCATCTCTGTACAGGACTTCTGGAGCTCTGTTAGAATGATCATTTGGTTTTTGGTCAACTCCCTGATCAAGACCCATCTTGCCTGGTGACCCAGTTTGGTCAACAGCCAACACTGAAAGAGTCCTGGTGGTTCCAAACTTCTTCCATGTCACCGTTTTTGAGGCTACTGTGTTCTTGGGAGCACTCAAAGGTTTTGAAATGGTTTTATCTCTTCACTCTGATCTATCACTCACCACAGTTTTATCACAGAGGTCTAAGGAGAGTTCTTGGACTTCATGGTATGTTTTTTCTCCTGACATAGTGTTTTGAGATCTTATATACACAGGTGTGTGCTATTCTGACCTATGTCCAATCAATTAAGTTTGTAACAGGTCATGTTCTGGATACATTGCAAGGATAATTCAAGCAAACATAATGTAACTGTCCACAATTGGAAGTGCCACAGCAAAGGCTCTTTTATAAATCTGAGTTTTCAGTTTTTGATTTTTAATAAATCAAAATGGAAAATGGATGGATGGATGGCTTTTTAATACATTTACAAAACCTTTAAGAGCCATGTTTTCACTTTGCCATTATGGATGTCACATTATGGGTGTTGGGGCAACACGGTGATGCAGTGGTTAGTACTGCTGCTTCACAGCAAGAAGGTTCTGGTTTGAACCTGGTGGCTAACAGGGTACTGGGTACCCACTGGGCTTTCTCCAGGTAATCTGGCGTCTTTCCACAGTCCAATGACATGCCTTGTTATGTAGCTAGCTAGTTAGCATGACGTTAATGTAAACACTATACGTTGACACATTTTATGCTTATGAATATAGCAGAATAAATTTAATACAATAAAGTTTGGTTATTATGCCACCAGGTGGAATAGCAACACACACTACTATATTTGAATCTTAAGAAATTTGTCTTTTTTTAAACTTTTACTGATGTCTCGCCAAAAAAAAAAGATGTCACTGTGTACAGGTTGACAGGCTCCACAGTTTGGGTCTGGGGGAGTCTGGACCCAGAAGTGGAATGTTACATCACACTTAACGAGTGGATAAGTGGTGAAGAAGGCATGTCAGAAAACAAACTCTAAAATGGAAGCAGCCAAATGGTGAGTTGTGTTGGTCTATGAAGAACTGTAAATACACAGTGTTTTGTCAGTCTGCATAGGACATTTATTGAGCTGTTCATGGCATTTAGTCATGTCAATGTAAAATGTTAAGCTAATCTATTCACTGTGTAGACTGTTCATATTGCTAAAGGTAGCTGAGATGCTGCAATCTATCATGCAAATCATACCTTTAGGTGTAATGGCATTATGGGGAAACTGAGCTGACTTGGTGGAGGCTTGAGCTCTCTGAGTGCTGTCAAGTTCTATGTGTAATTTGATAGTATAAACTGTAAAAGTAATTCACCCTCTCATTCTCTTAACTCTCCATTAGCATCTACTAACTACATCTCTTCTTTGGTAGTTGGCAAACAAACAATGCCACCTACTGATCTATTCTGTCAATGACTATTGCTGGTTTATATCATATTTCCACATTTTTTTTAGTATGTCCAGCCTCTCCACCTGCTCCACTCTGTTTAGCTTTCAAACATGGTCAGATGATGCACTGTACAATCTTTCCTCTTTATAATGTTCTCTGCCATAAATCCCCTTTCTCAAGATGGTTTCAAATTTCAGGAAGTTGATTTTCATTCAGTCCTGGCATTAGTTGCAACCAAAGGCTGCCTGGAGGAAAGGAAATCAATCTAATGCCTTATGGCAAACCCTGGAAAACAGTCAGCAGTTATGTAAAGCTTGTGACTTGTATTTATCTGACTAAAACATGTCAGAACAATCATATAGAACATGAAGCATAAATTGAAACTGTTAAAAAAATAAAAGGTCACTGGGACAAATTTGATCAAAAATGAACACTATTTAATCTTGGTTTAAGTTGCTTAAGATAAGAATCCATGTTCCATGTTTAATTATTTTGCTACAGTGATAACTGTGTAATTGCTGTGTAATTAGCAATGCAGTGTACCTAACAAAAGCTATGATAAGCATGTGACAACTATGTTCAGTGTGGATTTCTTCAAGCTCATGAACTGAGTACAATATCATGCTAGGCTGACTGCGGGCCTTTTGCTAATAATAGCTACCTTCCATTAGCACGTTGGCATTAATAGATGGTAAAGGCCCAGCATTTGTCATGCAGGGTTGGATCTATGATTTAGCTCCTCTATCACAGTTCATACTGCACTTTACCTCATTACTGTTAACTTTAGCACAGCATCCTTTATGCAACACAGGCACCGAATAATGTATGGTTTCAGAATCACTTGTCCTATTGGCAGGACTTAATGTGATGCACTGATAGCAGCAGCAGCAGCAGCAGAGGTATGAATGAATGCAGCTTCCTGAACTGCTCTGGCCTCTCATCAAATACATATTTAGTACATATATGACATAGACGTGAACTATAATTTGCAAATGCAAAGAGAGACATGCACAGTCACGTGTAAACACATACAGCACAAACACAATTTGACATTAGCTACTGACAAACTACACAGCTGTAAATGTCAGTGCTTCCTACTTCACACACCCTCTGTTTCGTCTCATATATTTTCTCAAAATCTGTCAAAGAACGACACTCACACTCTCACGTACATACATACATACATAATGAACACAATGTCACAATGATAATACATATAGCTCAGTTGTTCCAGAGGTCCTTCCAGCATGACAAATCACATCACCAGCTTTAATATCCCAGCAGGACACAAGAGGGCAGGAGGAGGACACAAGTGGACAAGGAAGATAAAGGAGGAGAAGGAGTGCACAGATCGTTTACCTTGCATCATGATTGCAGATTTTCATCCTATGTTGGCCTCCAGTGTACAGGCGGACAGAAATGAAGAAAGCCAGCTGGTCAATGGATGCCTGGGCACGGCATAGACAATTCTGCACAGCTTCCTGGCGGAGCACGATGTTGATTCCCTCCACCCCAAAGGGCCCAACCCCCAGACACCCGCACAGGGAAGTGGGGTGGAGGGGGGGGAGAGCTGAAAGGCAGCAGCAGCAGTGGTGGCAGAGAGCACAGTGAGAAGAGACACCCGAGGAATATGCAGCAAATAGGGGGAAAGGGCCTCCTCTCTGTGTGCACGCTAGGCCCCGCGCGCCCAGGCAGCACCGACACACGCCATATCTGAGAGGGGGGATGCCGAGGAAAGGCAAAGGAGGAAAAAAAACAGAGTGATACAAAGAGAGAGAGGCATAGAAAGACTGGGAGAGGGAAGGAGGGAGGGAGTGGGAGGCTTGCTGATGTCACATCTGCACTAAACCAATCCCTGCAGCCATGATCACATGGCAGCTGTCCCCTGATGCCTTAGCACCTCTTGGCTTGCCTTGAGCAGACACTCATATGTGCCAAGTGCATACGTATTACACCAGGTCTCACATAGTATAAAGCACTAGTTGGTTAAATATTTTCCTCATATTTGTATTTGAAATGTGATTCTGTTTTTAGTAATATTTGTAGGGCATTTGAGCTTTACAGGACAGTGAGGAGCAAAGATAAAAAGCACATGTCCAAAAAGAGGGACAAATACATCTCTCACACAGATTCACGGACAAAGAGGTTGTTGAACTCTTGAACAGGCTGAAAAGACAAAGAGAAGAGAAGAGAAAAGGGGATTCCAGGATTTTTAGGCAACTACTGAACCATATGATTTTGTCCTTGAATGTGCAAGAGATAAAAGCCCTGATAATAGAAAAAGGGGCAGGGGGCTTCAGGTTTCTTCAGGACATAATGCCTCAAGCCGCAGCTAGAGGCATAAAAAATGCACCTTGTTTTTATTGGGGTCAGGTTTAACAAATTGCATTGGTTTTATGGGTCAAAGTAAGGAGGACAAGGTGCACAGTTTTTAAAGATATCCTAGGGAAATACTGCTATAGAACCAGTTTTCTATGAGTGTGTCCCTGTTTAATGTGGTCTTGTGCATGTGCATGACATATTCTTACCAATCACGTCACATTATTCTTCTCAACAGGTAGCTGCAACACGCCAGCAAAGGCAGAGAATCAAGCTGGTAAACATGGATTTAAACTATGCTGCAGTGATAATGAGCAAAAAAAAGGCTCTGCATATATTCCTTTATCAGTAAGAAACACTGAATGCAGCGATGATGTATTTGGTGATGGTATATGTTTGAACAATAAAAAAAAGACGAGCGCACAAACATGGAAAAGAAGATTCAAGCGACAATCATGTCTTAGGGTCACCTGTAGGATATGGAAGATGAGCAAGATATCCCAGACAGATGCATTGGATAAGTATGAGGAAAACCAGCCCACAGCAGAACCAGAGACACTTGTGCTTTAGCTGATGCATCAGAATAATGTGGTGCGCACTGTCAAAGGCTGCAGTTAGAGCCAGGCATGTGAGGATGCCAAGAAGAGATCATTTGTTCAATTTTACTAGGATGGACGGTTGTGGAACAACTTTCAAGACAGATAGGATTTTGTTTTTCAAGGAGCAGGTGGGAGGAAGTTACCTTCTCTAGCACTCTGGAAACCAAAGAGTAATGTACTGACTGCACACAACTGCAAATGGCAAGATTGTTTCTATTGTTAAAAATGTGTCACACTGAAGGACAACAGTGTGTCCACCACTGCAGACTACACCACTGTCAGCTATAATCATACCACAGGCTCACTGGGAGGAGGTAACTCACATAATAGCCCTGAAGACAGAGAGAGAGAAAGAGAGAGAGAGAAGGACAAACTATTCCTGATACCATAATGTGAGGGTTACACTTCAGCACGAGAAGTGAGATGCTTTAGTGAAAGCTCTGGTGTGATTGTTCAGCTGCTTTAATGGCTGTGTGTTTGACTATTGGAGCAGGGTGACTCATCCTCACTGATAGGGAAGGACAGATGGAGCAAGGCAGTTAGAGAATAGTGTTGTGCTGTGTGTGTGTTTTTAGGGTTAGAGAGGCTTCTGCTGCAGAGGTCATGTAATTCCAAAAGAGAAATAAATATAAATTTGGCCATTAGCCTTTCGCTTGGTATGATCTTCTCTCCCCGTGCTGCTTCTGTTCTCCCATTTTAGGAGACTATTGTGCACCAGTGAGATGACTGATATGTCAGCGTGTAACTAAATGCATGCAGACCCACTAAACACAGAGACGTGCCAAGGACATCTACTGGGGTCTAGGTCAGACATTGAAAAAGCGGTCCACTGAGTAGCCAGAATGAAAGTTTTTGCGACGACTTTTTTGGATGTCTGCTGTACATTTGGACATCCATTCGACATCTCCACCACACATTGGTAACACTTTACAAAGTGTTACACCTCTGCTACTACAACACCCACTGGTAAAGGTAAAATGTAGAGATATTAATCTTTATGAAAATATTAATTTCAACATACGTTAAGAACATTCTTAACTTGATTTATGGAGTAAGGGTCTGGCCCTGTATTACACATTTCTTTTGCATTTTAAATTGATTGTCAAGCAGCCCAGGTTGATTAGGCTCTTTAAGCTTTCACAACAAATTAATATAAAGATAAACACATTCTTTTTTTTTTCTTTTTTGTAACTCATAAGGCCACTTAACATACCCATGATCCAGTAATTTGAAAATTCTATTGTGCAATAGACACAGACAGCTTCCTCCACACTTTGCCTTCCTGCCTCAAGTTCACCAGTTTATTAAAAATGCATAAAACAAAATATTTGGACTGTGTGACAAGAGCATCAAATATGTTATAGGCTATTCATTAAATGTAGAATGAAGAGTTTGACATTAACATAGACCGCTACATGTGATGTATTATGCATTCTTACACTAGTTACTTCTAGTTAACTAAGCTAATGTTACCTTGTTTACCAACTACAGCCAGGTCTTATTTCTCTCACCCTCATCTCGCTGAACCCCTTTCTCGGCCTCCTCTAAAGAATTTTGTCCATCTACAGGAGTCAGCAGTGTCTGAGTCAAAATAAGATCACTGGTATTATTCAAACACTTAAACTGGTCCCCATCACATAGCTCAGTCCATTCCTTTCTTTTGTTTTTCGCACAATACATGGATTGCTGTGTGCACGCTGCAGTGCTCCAGCTACAACATGTATGACGTGCATATGTACACACCGTGGTGTACAAACCCTAACCACTGCTGCTTTGACATTCTGGATTAGAACAACAACTCAAATCTTTTCCCATTATTATTATTAATCTACTGCCAAATACAGGGGTTTGTTAAAACTGTAACATGTGCTTTTATTGGGACCCGTGTAGCTGTAGCTCCATTTTTATCAACCAGTCAATACAAATAGAGTAACTATTACAAGTTGCTTCGATGTTCCTGATAATCGTTATTATCATCATATTGTCATAGCTGGTGCACCACCTAGAATAAAACCAAGCACCGTGCACAGGTTTTATGGATTAAATGTAGGTTGGCAGGTCATGCATTAAATTTCTTCATTTAGATCAAAATATCATTGTTGTTTTATGAGTCATTATCGCTTGGTTTGGTCTGGCCTGCTTGTCACACAGCTCGTGAGAATATTTAGCAAATCACAGTTAAAGCATTTTCACTAAAAGCAGGCAAAAAAAAAAAAAAAGCTAGATCCCCTGGTCGTTGTCCATCCTGTGGGTGTCCAAGCACCATGACTCCGACAGAGCGACAGCATCAGTAAAGGTCAGCAAAAGGAAGATGGTAAAACCTTGCCGCTGCTCTGTCTCCGGCCTGGAGGACAGGAGGCTTGGTCACCCGTAACAGATGACAGTTACTCAGCAGCTCTAAACCCACGTGCATGTAACAAAGGCAAGAGGAAACTGGCTTTAAAGCATATAAATTGCAACTGTCTTTGTGGGAACTCTGGGCTCCTCGTGTTTTTTGTTTTTTGTGTTTTTTTAAAGTTTCTGTTTGTTTTAACAGGTTGCACATCCTGAACTCAGCTTATGCTTTTTCTTATAAGATTGTTTTTTTAAAGACAAGTTTGTTCTAAAGCTTGCTGTAGCAGACAATGAATGCCTGTTGGTGGCCGACAGGAGACATGGTTCCCTGCTGCTGTTCCAGTTGGTGCACCTGAACAGAGCCACAATAAAAGAGCTCCTACCCACTGACACAGCAGGGTGACATAAAGAGGAAGGGGTGAAAGCTTATTTGAAATGGCCACAGGTATAAGAAAAAAAAAAGCTGTGTATGTATGTTAACATTGTGATAGTTAACGGGAAGAGTCTGAAATCCTGACAGAAGGTTACTGTTGCTTCCAACAAGGTTTCAGGTTGTCAGTCTGTAGCAAGAGAAAAGAACAGAGAAGAAGAGTAGCAGGATACATGTGCTCAAATATTTCAACAGGAACCTGAAAAACACACCCAGAAGGAAGTGATCAACAAACAGAGTCAGGTTCAGCTTAACCACACTGAAACATTAAAACAGTTTTAATACTGATGAGATATATATATATATATATACATAGACATTGTCAATATATTGACATATTTATATATACATATATTTCTGCAAGATATGCTGTATATATTTCTGTCTCTTTATTAAGATATAACCAGAAAATACAGGAAATATGTACATAGGATTTAAAAACATGAGATATTCAGAACAAAATGGCTTCTACAGTCCAAAGTCAGTATTTAGCATGACCTCCCTTTGCACTTAGCACAGCTTGAATTCTTTTGGAGAGACTGTTTAAGTCTTGAAACCATGACAGACCTTCCATCAAGTTTCACTGAAGGCTGCTACACTTCCTCCTCTCTCCAACTCCTCTTCTCACACAATTGGACCTGAACATTTCAAACTTCCATTCATTGCTCCATAAGACTCCACTGATCTTCACTCCAATCTTTTCCAGCTTTTGCATATCTCAGCCTTTTCTCCCTGCCCCCCTTCTGAAACAATAGTTTCTTGGCTGCTGTTCTTCCACCAAGGCCATTCCTGATCGAGCTTCTTCGGCCTGTGGAAGGATCAGCTGCCAGATGCTGAGCCAGGTCCTTGCTGGATTTCTTCCAGGCTCTCAGAGAAGAAACTCTTCTCATCAGATTCTGACAGTGTTGTTGGTCTTCCAGTCCTGGTTTTGTCCTTGACCTCTCAGGATTCTTTATATTTCTTTAGAACAGTTTGAATACTACATCTTGAGTGTTCAGTTTGTTTGCTGAGTTTTTCATTTTTGTGTTTTTTAATACTGTGTACATATTTTCTAATTGTATTCTGAGAAATAAACACATATAGTCATCAAAACATTATTAAAACTATTAAACTA